ATATAAAAACTAAATGAACGAAACCCATGCAAATTTTTTATATTGAAAAATTAAAAGCTTAAATTGTATGAATTTTTTTCTAAACAAATTAATATAGAACAAATTTTGTTTTACTACTTTGAATTCGAAAAAAATATTCAAACAAAAACAAGTAAGAAATTATAGTCGGGCGAGGCCGACCATATAATACCCTACACCTTTGACAAAAATATAATGTGATTTATTTGCCATAATAAAGCATTTAAATTGAATTGTACCTTGCCTCAGATATACATACTTAAGCCGTTTATTGTTGAATAAAATTGTGGACATTTAAGTGAAATTTTGATAGGGGCTTTTCATAAGGGCTAGGGTCATATGAGGACCTATTATTATGGAATTCGTGAGGGTCATCATATCTTGTATTAATATTAAACATAATTATGAACTTAAAAGCCCTATTCGGCGGGTTCAGTTGTATGGGGGCTAGGTGAAATAATGGACCGATGTAAACCATTTTCAACTGGCTTCGTTTACGGTACCATAAAAGATCATATGCCAAATTTCATTGAATTATCTCAAAAATTGCGACCTGTAGTTTGATTACAAAGTTTAAAAGCCCTATTCGGGGGTTCAGTTGTATGGGGGCTAGGTGAAATGATGGAACGATCTCAACCATTTTCAATAGGCTTCGTCCCAGGGACAATAGAAGATCATGTACCAAATTTCATTGAATTATCTTCAAAATTGCGACCTGTAGTTTGATTACAAGTTTTACATGGACGGACAGACGGACGGACATAGCTAAATCGACTCAGAAAATGATTCTGAGCCGATTGGTATACTTTAAGGTGGGTATAGGACCAATATTATTGTGCGTTACAAACATCAGCACAAACCCAATATACCCTCCCCACTGAAGTGGTGTAGGGTATAAATAGTAAAAGAGAAAAATATTTATGTAAATTTCAAGATCTTACTATATTTTACAATTGTTTGTGTATAAAAACGGAAAACTTTAAAAATTGTAAGAAATAGTAATACCAGTAAAAATACATAGTTTGTAAACGAACAGACTTAATATTTGATATATTTTAAGTATTGTAACATTTTATTTCCAATTAATTATCTCTATACAGTTCAAGGGATTACGGTAGATGTTTTACATATGCTCAAAAGTAACCATATTGAAAAGCTTTTTGCTGACGGGTCAATTGCAGATATGGCAAAATTTGAGCATTATTTAGATGCATGGAAAAAATCAAGTAGTCCTTCTGAAATCGGGCCTAGTATTTCCCAAAATAATTGTTCACCAAAAATTTCAGTAATGGATGTTCTTAAGAGTACTTATAATGGACGAGAAATTTTAGATTACTATAAAAAGAACGAAATCTTCTTATAAGTATAATTACAAAATACATTGAGTCAGAAGGGGTTATGTGCAGCTGCAATGGATAAAGAAATTTGTTCAATATTTCCTTCGGAAGAACTGGTAAATATTTATTTTAAAAATTTTATTTCAAAACGTTTAAAAATTTAATTAAAATATTTTTAGGATTATTATGGAAATGGAAAAAGAGGGAAAATATACAATAAACTGGCCCACATGAAAGGCTATCCAAAGATGTTTTAAAAAAAGAGGACAATGTGCCTGATGTTAATATTTTAGAAGATTAGTATAATCTTTGTATTACTGTTATTTATATGCGACTCCTTCATATTATGGGATAGATTCAGGAAGTTGTAGGAAAGGAAATATTAAATAGAAGAAATTATATGTTTTGTTGTTTCAGAACCTGTGGAAAACTGCACATTGTATTTTCAATACCTCAAAAGTGATCAGATTTCAGCTGAAGAATTTGACCTCTATTGGCGTAAGTGTGCGCCATTCCGGTTTCAACAAATATCCGAATCCAAAGCAACAGCTGAAATTTTTAATCTATGACCTGACTACATAAAGCCATCAGGGTTTCATTTGGTAAAAATTATTTTTATATTTATTTAGATTGATATAGATTTTACCTTAAAATTTTCAATGGCTAAAAATATACATGAACGAAAAAATTTTATCCGTCTTAAAGGCGAAAATTTCTTCTGCAAATATTTTAAAATATCTGACAAATATTGAGTCAAACAATGAAGGTAACAAAATTGTAATTGAGCCTAACGGCTCAAAAGTTCGTAAAAAATCCACAATTGCAGATTCCCAAGAGGGATTCACGGTAATAGCTGATTCGAAAGAAGAACTAGAAGTTAAACTTAAACTTCTTAAGCTGCAATGCCGCAATATCCAGCCAAGAATATTGATTATTGGTAGTATAAGCAATATTAAATTCATTTTTGTATATGTGGATAATAATAAATATCCATTTTTGACATTTCTAAAAGCTTTTGACACATTCTTCATGATTTTTTTATTTAATCTTCAGTATCCGGAAGAATCGGAAGTTTTCTATAATTTCGTACAAACTTTCTTATAAGTTTCGACTATTAAACATGACATTTTCTAAAATAAAGTCTAAAATAAATATATTTTTTAATAAAGTTATTTTTAATAAATACTTTATAACTTGATTAAAATCATTTTTTAAAGTTTACATTAATACTTAATAGAAAAATAATTATTCATTAAAAATAAAATGATTTAAATAACTTACTTATTTCTATAATTTTGTTATGTAATATTAATTGTTTTCTAAATTAATTATAATATAAACTTAATTATAACTATAATATAAACTAAATTATTATTGAATTACTAATATTTTACAAATATTATTTTTTAAAAAAGAAATAAACAACTTTGAAAAAGTTGTTTCTAATAAGGTTAATTTTATATTGAAATAGTTTAATAATTTAAAACCAAAAAAGTTGTTTCTAATAAGGCTAATTTTATATTGAAATAGTTTAATTTTAATTTTACAGATTTTGGATTACTAATATTTTAAGTTAATAATTATAAAACAAAAACTTTCTTTTAGAAAAATGATTTTTTTTAATAATTAAAGTAAATTTTATAGTTTTTAAAACATGTTAAATTTTTATTTAATTAAATTATTAAAAAAAAATGGTTATAAATAATGCATTTATTTTTTCCAAAAACTAATTTTTGTAAGATATAAGTATTTTTATATTTAACTAATAGATAGTACATAGTTTTTGTTTTTATAATTATTATTTTAAAAATTAATCAAGGAAAAAATTTAATATTCAATTCATTAAAAAAATGTTAAATAAATGAATAAAACTTATTATTTATACAGAGATACGTTGTTTGTTTACCAACAAATATAACTGTATTATTTTGTTTACAACTTGATTAAAAAAAATATTGATTTTTAAAACAAGTTTAGTTTTGAATTAAACATGTTTTAAAAATGATAAACTTTATCTCAATTAACTTATAAACAAAATAATCCAATTATATTTTTTGATAAACAAATAATATCTTTTATTTTCTAACACAACATATTTAAATAAATATAAAGAATTATTTTCATTTTCTGTAAATTTCTCTTTTAAAATAAAAATAAATTTTATAAGAATATCATATATAAATGAATCTGCATTTAATTATTTAATCAAAGGTATATTTTAGAAAAATGGTAAGAAAATAATCAGTACGCATTTTTCAATTAATTAAAGTGTATATAATATTGCTTAACTGCTTCTATACAATCTCTAATTAATTTAAAATTGAATTTTAAAATTTTTTTCGCCCATTCGGTAAAATTTTTATCTGAATTCGAATATTTCTTTAACAAATTATTTGTCGATTTGGTAAACAAATTTGTTAAATTATATATGAAAAATTCATTAAATATTTTTCTTCTTTCTATTAACATATTTGATTGAAATCTGAAAATTTTTCAATAAAGATTTTTGCAGATTCTAGCTAAAAAATTGTTGATAATTCATTTTAAATTTAACAAAATTCATGTTTGTTTTGGTAGATAATTTGTTTGAAATTGTAATGAATTTTTAATAAAAATTTTTGCTAATAGCATATTTTTTTAATTGAGAAAATATGATTTTTTTTTTCAATTAATTCTGTGCGAATCTGTTTACTAAATATACAATTTTCGTGATACGTCCGATTTTGAACAATTTTACATTTGGTTTGGCGAATTGTTGTATTGAATCGTAAAATTATTTTTTTCTGAGTACGGGAGGTACAATCAATTTTCAACATTGTTGATAATATGAAAAAAAAACAAGTTAGAGTGCTATATTCGGCTACGTCGAATCTTAAATACCCTCCACCAGCAAGCTCTTTTTTATTAAAACCCATTTAACAATCTAGTTTTTAGATAACTCGGCATAAGTTTTGTTTCCGTAGTGAGGGTACTATCATTTAGTAATTTCATTATGCATATGTGGAACTTATATTGATTAGGTCGAAAAAAATATATTAAGTGATATGGATATGGACTTTTTACGGGTGCTATGACTTGTTATGGGCTGATCTTGCCAATGCCAAAAAAATTAGGAGAATGATTTGTATATTCACAAACCATGTTTATGTCGTGTTTTACTCCGACGTCAAATATTTTAGCAGAATGATTTACATATACACAGAACATGCTCATGTTCACAAAACATATTCAAGCTGAATTTTATCCCGATAACTATTATTTTCAATGAAATGGAGCATTTGTGTTATTTTTGGAAATTATCCTTATATATACAAAACTTATTCACGTCGAATATTACTTCAATAGTTATTAGTTAATGAAATATGTGGGTTTAAGTGATTTTCAGAAGCCTACCCAGAAAAAAATCCGTAGAGTGATTGATGCATACACCAAAAATTTATTTTTACACATTACAATACAATTGCAAACTATATTCTAAGCTAATTTACCGAGCAGAGAGACGATGACCATACGCCCGTTTTATAGTAGCAAACTGACAGGCTAGCACACTACCAACTAGCCTACCGGGTACCCATTCATACATACATACATAAATACATATGTACGTTTATGGGAATCTATAGCAGCTAAAACTCTAAAAGTTTACATTTGGAGGAAAAATGGGACTGGTTTCTCCCAAAAACAAGTAAATATGGAATATCGTAAAGGTTTTTTATTTATATTTTTTTCAGGGCAGTGAAGCTAGCAATTAAATAAAACAAATATAAATTTCCTATGGTTAACATAGGTTTTTGATTTTTTAGGGTAAAAATGTTTCCCGCATTGAGAACATAATCGTATGAATATTGGACATTAAGTAAAAAATGTATATGGATTTGGAAACGCATTTAAAAGATATGTTATATTACCTAATCACATTTATGGCATCACTAATGGACTCTTGTTCCTTACTAGAATTTAAGTATTCTCTGGACGATGATTTGTATTTTTCCGTTGAACGTAAAATGTTAGGTGCAAAAACGGTTGCCAAATTATTACTATCCATCTTATTTCCAGTAAGATGTACAGTTCCGTCATTATCGCAAATATCATCCGAACAGGCCGCAACTTTTGCTAAAAATTTTAACAACACATATAAGGTGTCACGATGTGCTGGCGGTAAAAGTTTTACTAGATGTGATATAGCTTCTAATTGTAAACGTCGGTTGCGTATTTCTAGAATAAAAACAAAACATGATGAAATCAGTTTATAAGTAGGTATACATGAATATGAAAACTTACTTTGCGTATCCAAAAATGCATTATAAAGACCATTTAACAGTAAAGGCTCCGGAAGGTCTCTTAGAAACTCTTTTAAAAGTGTGGCAACATTATGTGGACATGTATCGTCATCAAAACTCTTATCATTATTCTTATCAAAATTGTCTCGCATCTATCAAATGTATAAATAATTGTATGTATTATATTAATAACAATAGTTTTTCTATAAAATATGTTTTTGAGTTAGTACACTATTGAAAAAAATTTACGTTATGTATCTTACGAACCTGCTTTACTCTTTTTTTCGAGGTGCTTACTCGAAATATGCCGACTTTGTGCAGCCCATTTTCTTCCAAATAATTTATGCAGCAAGTAACAAATTGTGGAACTTGTAGTGGTTTAAATATTTGGATATCAGCCCCGTCATCATTATCTCTAATATGAGTTGAAATCACAGAATGATCATGACTGCCCCTTCTAACATCTGTTTGACTACGTGATATCCGTCTAGATGCTGACTTTGTCATATTACCAAGATAATTAGTAATTGTTGTATATTTAGAGTTACTTTTAACATTATCACACTGGGTTTCATGCTCAGTGGGTAAATTCTCACAGGAACGTACCTAAAAATAATTTAAATGTTGTTTACTTTTTGTTTCTTAGGGGTTTTGGTTAATGTACACAAACACCGGGCTCTATTGAAAATGGGCATTATCGGTCCACGTTTTCGCATAGCCCCCATACAAGTGGAACCCCGAAATACAGTTTTTACTGCCATAACTGTTTTAAAAATATATGTATATGAACCAAAATCTCTCTACAAAATTTTATGAGAATCAGACCATAATAAAAGGTCTTATTCAATGGATTTAACGCAAATTACTGGCTTAAAAATACGAGTGCAGAGAAAAAATTCGAGACACATTTAATACAAATTTAAATCATTCTACAAAATTTATAAGGATCGGTCCATAATTATCCCTACCTCCCACATAAAGTCCCCTTTAGAAAATGACTTTAACGCTCATTACTGTCTTAAAACTAAAGGTACACCGATGAAATTCTACATATATGATTTTAATAGGAACCAAAATCAACAAGTAAAAGTGTTATATTCGTGTTTATGTCGAATTTCATCGCTGTACTCGTATTTTTAAGCCAGTAATGAGAGTAAAAGTCATTTTCTGAAGGGGACCTTATATGGGTTTAGATATGGACCGACCATCGTTAAATTTTGTAGAGAGATTTTGTCTCATACAAAACTTATTTATGTTAAATTTCATCGCTGTACTCGTATTTTTAAACCAATAATAAACGTTGAAGTAATTTTCTGATGGGGACATTATATTTTGGCTCGATCCTCGTAAAATTTGGTAAAGAGATTTAGAGATCTTACAAAACTTGTTTATGTTGAATTTCATCGCAATACTCGTATTTTTAAGTTATTAATGAGCGTTAAAGTAATTTTCTGATGGGGACCTTATATAAGGGGTAGGGTCAATTATGGACCGATCCTCGTAATAGTTGGTGAAAAGTTTTTAGCTCATACAAAACATGTTATAGACCGATCCTCTTAAAATTTAGTAAAAATATTTTGGTTCCTATAAAACTTGTCTGTGCTGAATTATATTGCTGTACAGTTATTTTTAAGCCAAAAATGAGCATTATAATAATTTTTTAAGGGGGTCCTCATATGGGGGGTAGGGTCAATTATGGGCATATTTCCGCCATAATTATGAATACAAGTTCTGCAGTCAAAAACCGACTTAAGCAAAATTTTGTTGCATTTGCTTCATAATCAACGAATTTGTGAATGTTTGAAGCTTTTAACGGGGGTACATTTGTATGGGGGCTATGTGAAGTTCTGCAGTCGAAAACCGACTTATGCAAAATTTTGTCGCATTTGCTTCATAATCAACGAATTTGTGAATGTGGGGCTATGTGAAATCGTTAACCGCTTTTACCCATTTTCAATACTAAACATTTCTGATCAATAATGAATATTTTCGGAAAATTTGATATCCATATCTTTTTTTGTGGTCGCTATCGTACCAACAACGGACAGACGGACGGACATAGCTAGATCGTCTTAGAATCTCACGAGGACCCAAAATATACGTATATATACTTTGTGGGGTCTATGAGCAATATTTCGATGTGTTACACGCGGAATGACAAAATCAATATATTTATATTTTTATTTTATTTTTTAATTCGGAAGAGCTCGGTCTATAGTTGACACAAGCCCCAATTAAAAGCAATATTCCAAATATAATACTGATGTTCATATTAAAATTCAACATAAATCTAATAAATGACAATAACAAAGGCATCGACTCATTAATATCAAAGCTTATGTATATAGTAGGCTTCATGCTATATGATTTGATGGTGGGTATCAGTAACGCCAAGTATTTTTGCCCTTTTTGTAGGGATTTTTGTTCAAAAATTTCATATGTAGGGAAAAGGGAAAGATTTCTTACTTTCGTGAAATTGTAAGGATTTTTTCAACTTCATAGTTTTTAGAAAATAATTTTCGATATGAAATCGATATTTTCACGAATATTAGATAAGTACACATTAAATGTCAATTTTAATGAGAAACATATTATGCCTCATTCACATGATGCAATTATTAGTCATTCAGGCTCTCATTCATTATTCAACCCCCAATTACAAATTGAATTATGATTGATTGCCCATACAAAATTTCAGCTGCGAATTACACAAGCTATACGTAATTCAGTTTCAATTACCTACGAATTACGAATGAATGATTGCCATCTCTAATTTTTATCTGGTATTTATTTCACATCTGCTTGGGTATACTTCCCTACCAGCAACTGGAACTAATTTTCATTCAGATTTCTCTGTTTTTAATATGTAAAAAAGATTTAAATATTTTATTAAAGCTAAGTGAAATTTAGATAACTAATAGTTAAATAAATTTTAAATATATTTAGTTAATGTAAATAAATTTCTCATATAATTAATTAATACAGTAGGTAATACAAAAGAAAACTATTAGTTGACTTTTCTGCAACTAACTTCAAGTTAGTTATTAAACAGTTAACTTTAAGCTAATCTTTTTGTAGCTAACTTTAAGTTAGTTGAAAAGTCATGCAGATTCGGACAATTGGCTAATGCGTTGGACATCGCCATATTAAAATAGTCAGTTGACTCAATTAAAAATAATCCAATGATCAACCATAACTAGTTGATGAAAAAGTCGGCTTTTAATCCATTTAAAGTTAGTTGAGTTGCTGGCAGGGTTGTTCTTAAATGCACAGTACTCCATTCCCTGCCAGCAATTTTGTAGTCCACTTCGAGAAAAATTCACTTCTACTTTACTTTTACGGACTGACTATAAGTTAACTACAATGTAATGCAGAGCTGTCAGAAACAACCGACTTTTAAAGACTAACTACAGACTAAAACTATCTTGTAATGCAGAAATGCCCCAAAATTATCTGGAGAGAATTTTATTTCAACATGTTTTCTCTTGTTTCTCCATTATTATGAATTATTTGTTTTTCCATTGTTACTGAGATAGCCGAAATTTGAGCTCGATTAATAAACATTAACACGTGCCGCTCGCCGCTCAAAGTTTGAATAAATCCAAATTTTTGGCCAAAAAGCTAACATATGAAGCTATAACACCAGAATGGTAAATAATAGAAACACAATTAGTACCTCAAAACAAAGCTAAGCATAACTTACCGACTCTAAATGGCTGCGATTTTAATATTTTAACCAGGTGTAGCAAACTTAATTTAAAATTGTTTGGTGTACAAATTTTTTCTTGCTCTCATTTGGTTTAGGAGTTACAGACATTTAATGATTTATACTGTAATGTAGAATATCCCCATTATCTACCCAAATTTTACTTTTTATATATAATTCGAAAGGGCTTTTGAAAAGCTTTCAAACATATATAACATAACCCCTTCCATTAACCCATTGAGCGCCATCTCTAAAAAATGTGATTTTTATTTAGGATTTTTATACAAATTTAAGAATTTCTCTTTAATTTACGATATGAACACAACATATAAACTGAAAAATTGAATAGGAGATAGAATTAGACCATTTAATGCCTTAGAATTATTGAATTAAACAGTTAGTTTCAATAGTTTTTTTAAATTAATTCATTTATTTCGGAGGCTTCGTTATTATATTAATATTTAAATTGAAAAATATGATTTGCTTAAACCAATTTTTAAAAAAATCATACTTTTTCACTCGATATATTAAAATATTTATTATTAAAATATATTTTTTAAATACATAATTTTTTTCGTTTTTGTTAGGAATTTTTCTCTGTGCGATAAAATAAAAGAAAACAAGTTAGAGTGCTATATTCGGCTCTGCCGAATCTTAAATACCCTCCACATTAAACTGTTTTCATAAATTATCAAATTTTATGGATTGATTCAAATTTACCTTAATATTTTAGACTTACTTTCACTACGCCTTACAATATGCAATTAAAAACAAAACTACCACTTAACAGACTGTTACAGTGCGTACTAAATTTAAACTATGGTCCGTATTTAAAATAATTTCTATGTGTGAGAAAAATGTATGGTAATAGTTATAGTTATAAAACTTATATAATTTTGTACGGGAGGTACAATAGATTTTTAACGTTATTGATCCTATGAAAAAAAAATTTGCCTTTAAATTTTTATTGTTAAACCAAATTTCGACACTTAATTTGGTTTTTAAAAAAATTTAATTATTTATGACAAAAAAAGATAAATCGACCAGGAATCGAACCTGCAATGCTCAGTTTGTTAATTATCCCTTCCATCCACTACACCACATCATTATTTTGTTTTTCGTTAACTAATATTTTTCATATAAAAATGCCATGTTATTTTATGTTTGTACAAATCATTGCTGTTGAATAACATTTATCAACACTGATGTTGCTGAATAGCATAAGAAATTAACAGTTACACTTTCTCAATGTGCACATTTTATTTGATCTTGGGTTAACAACAATTGTTCAATTCACAATCGATGTTGTAGCGTTGTATGTCAGCAGCTGCTACAATAGTCATAACAATGTTGTTGGTATTTTCTATGCAAAAGCTCTTTACAACTCCTACGACAATTTTTCATATGTTTTTCGAATGTTGTAAGAAAGTTTAGTGTTGCCAAGTGTTTATTTCAACATATAAACAAAAAATTCAAACGATTTTAGCATAAAAAACGATAAAGTGGTAACACTGAAATCAAAAACAAACAGCTGTTTACCAAAACAAAAAAAATAAAATTTTATTAAAAACAGTTTATTTATTAGTTTAAAATGTGGAATAAAGAAAATAAATGAATTGAAAATTCAAAGAAATTAATTTGGTTTATTTCGCATGTTTAATTAATTTAAAATTTTTTGACTTATTTATCTTTTGACATTGTTATGTATATTTGTTTTGATTGTTTTTTTTTCATTGAGAACATAAACTTATGACTTGCTGCAAAGATCTGTTCACAATCACTGTTACTACACTTTAGTAGGTACAATATACAACTTGATTGTGAATTGAACAAATGTTTTACACAAACAGGAAAGAGAATTTCTATGTGAACATTAGTTGCAAACAATTATGAAGCTAGTTAATAGTGTAGTGGCAATGGCGTAAAACTACCCTGCCAGCAATTTTGTAGTCGACTACGAGAAAAATTCACTTCTAGTTTACTAGTATTTCAACATGTTTTCTCTTGTTTCTCTATTATTATGATTTTATTTGTTGTTATTTGACTGACTATAAACGAACAACAATGTAATGCAGAATTGTTCCAAAATTTGGTATTTATTAACGTAAACAACCGACTTTTAAAGACTAGCTACAAGTTAACTATCATATAATGCGTTTCGATATGTTTTCTCATGTTTCTTTATTATTTGGAATTTTGTTTTACATTTTTGTAATTTTCTTGTATACGTTGTGAAATTAGAGTCAGTAAATTGGAAAAATTAATTATAAAAGGTTAAATATTTCAAAACTCGGTCCCTAAATTCTAAATTCTGCTGATTAATACTGTAAATATAATACATTAACAGTTAACATTACACATAACATTTTAAAATTTATTTTAGATTTGGATCAATGGGAATCATGGAAATAATGAACAAATCATTCATAATTTTATGGATACCGGTGTTATTATTAGTTCCCCTGCAGAAAACTGATGTCTATTAATTTTAACGAACTAATATCATAACTTGTATTAAAGCGAAATGTAATTTAGATAACTAGTAGTTAAATTTTAAATATATTTAATTAACATGTAATTAATTAATACAGTAGGGAATACAAAAGAAAACTAGTACTTGACTTTTCTGCAACTAACTTTAAGTTAGTTAATAAAGAGTTACCTTTAAGCTAATTTTTTAGCAACTAACTTTAAGCTAGTTGAAAAGTCATGCAGAGTCGGACAATTGACTACTGCGTAGGACATCGCCATTTTAAAATAGTCAGTTGGCTCCATTAAAAATAATCCAAGAATCAACCATAACTAGTTGATGAAAAAGTCGGCTTTTAATCCATTTAAAGTTAGTTGAGTTGCTGGCAGGGTAGCAACTGGGAGATTTTAAGTTCGAATCCTGTTCGTTTTGGACAGTTTTTATTTAATTGTTTGCGAAAAATATGTGAAAAAGCACAATAGAATTCATATAAAGAAACAATTTTCTGAATCGGTCCATAATTGGTCATAGCTCCCATATAAGGTTACCTTCCGAAAAACACTTAAACGCACATAACTCATTACCAAATAACGATAATCATACAAACTTTGGCACAAATATTGCTTTTATCTACAGAAATCTTACTGTACATTTTTTTACGATCGGACCACAATTGGTCATAGCTCCCATACAAGGTCTCCTTCTCAAAATCACTTAAACGCATATTTCTCATTAAAATCTTCAATATTCCCTTGTTCCGATACATTTAAGCAATTTATGGATGAAAAACTAATTTTCTGAAAGAGGCTTTATATGGGGGCTAGGGGCAAATATGGACAAAGCCCGATAAAATTTTGTGAATTTATTTATATTTACATAATATTTTATTGTGCTGAATTTCATCGCGATATTTGTGTTTATAAGTTAATTTGGGACATTCAAGTAATTTTCTGAAGGGGACTTTGTATGGGAGCTAGGGTCAAATGGGGCCCGATCTTTATGAAATTTGGCAGGGTTATCGAAACTTCTATAAAACTTAGTTGTGCCATATTTTATCGATATATCTGTATATTTAACATAATTATGAGCTCAGAAGCCCTTTTCGGGGGGTTCTGTTCTATGGGGGCTAGGTGAAATAATGGACCGATTTTAACCATTTTCAATAGGCTTCGTCCTTGGGTCAAATAAAACGTGCGTGCCAAATTTCATCCAATTATCTTGAAAATTGCGACCTGTAGCTTATTAAGGGATCCATACAAAATTTAGCACAAACATTGCTTTTATATACAGAAATGATACTGTAAAATTTGTTTACGATCGGTCCGTAATTGATCGTAGCTCCCACACAAGGTCCCCAGTAGTATAAATGAAGGGATTCCGGTACACTTTTTAATGACAGACATAGAGGAGTAACTTGTAATAAGAATTTTTATAGAGGAATTTTTTTTATGAAATTGAGAACCTGTTGAAAAGAGCAAGTTGTTTTTATTAAATTGTGAATCAATGAATTAATTTTTTGTAATTTTGCTTGTATAAGCATTAATTATGAGAAAAAATTGTTTTGCATTTACCCAATGTATTTATGTTGTATAATAATATGTATGTATGTAATGTAATAATGCTAAAAGTACATACCAACAATAATTATGAGGAAAATTTTTTTTGCATTTCACCAATGTATTTATTTTTTATAGTAATATATACATATGTTTGTAATAATGTTTAAATTTTTTGCAATTTTCAAAAGTCAAAGTGTGTGAACCAATTCTTAAAAACCACAAAAATTTGATTGCATTCATTAATAAAACCGCAAACTATTTTATTGCACTTTAACAAATCACATGGATGGAAAACGGAAAACACTACACTCACAAATTTAATAACACCTTCAGCGATGGACGTCCAACATCACACACACACACCATACACTTCATCTCACAACACACAAACACCTAGACCTGCATTTTCACATTTCAAACGCACACATACTCCCACATATGCATAACACAAATTTACTTAACAAACCACAACACCCCTCAAACCCCTACACCTTTCACGCAATTCAAACCTACACATACTCCCAGCCATGCATAAACCTAATATTGTCTTCTTTTATTTTTGCACTTTTAATTGTGACGAAATTAGAAACTCTTGACTTGCATAAAAAGCGTTTTGGTAGTTTTTGTTTATATCAGTAATGTAGAATAATTATTGGTGTGTTAATAAAAAACGGAACATTAATTTTCCGTTGAATTTGAATACGCACACAGTTCCATGCAGCTGGGTTGTTGACCCAAATCAATTGCTTATGCAAAAAATTTGTAATTACCCTGAAAACTCTTTTAAACAAAATTAATCAAGAAAAAAATGTATTTATACAAAAACTAAAAAATGTACAGTAAGCTAAATTTATTAACTTTTACAGACATACATATAAGTATGTATGTATCTATAAATTGTTAATCATGTTCGTGCAAGATTTTTATATTGAAATGAAGTGAACGCTAAAGTGTGAATCGATTCAGTTTACTTTAGCTATGTTTGTATGTATGTCTATCTAAAAGAAGTTATTTAATTAACCCATTTACAGCCAATCAAAAAGTACAAGTTAAATTTTTGAAACTTCAAGGTATATTTATTTTCAACAATGCAAAAAAGCAGAAACGTAAAAAAAATGCTAAAAAATATTAATAATTAGGACATTAGAGGGAATTTCCGTTTTTATGTAGCTCGCGTTTTTTAACGGTTTAGAGCCGTCACAGAAACTAGAAACAGAGTGAAATGGCAGCCACGGGCATTACTACCCAGCAAAAAATCTGAAATTTTTAGTAATAGCCAGTAGTTATTTCATACATTACTTGGTAATGAGTGTTCATTATCATCCACATTGTTTCATTTAGCTGAATAGGTTATTACTGGTAAAGAACAAAGCAATTTGGATTTGTTATGGCTCAATTGTCTAGGTCGTTTATTTAACAAACAGGGGGTTCGTGGTTCGACCCCTGCTGGATACTGTTTATTTTTTTCAAAGTGACATTCATTTATATATTTTTGTAAAATGCCGTTCTGAAAACTACAAAAGGCAACATGTTAATGGAGCATCGAGTAAGCGGCTGGAGTGAGAAACATAGAAAACAACGGAATGTCTGGGTTCAAATCCCGGCCGAGGATTTTTTTATTTTTTGTTTTCTACATACAAAGTCGGCCCAAAATAACTAGCTATCACATAACATATTTGTAGGTTTATTTGTAACTAGTTATTTCGCAAATTTTTTGTAATCAAATTAGTAACCATTTATTAATTTGTTAAAGTAGGTACATATTATTTGAACCTCGTCGAACAAAAATAATTAGTTATTCACCCCAAAAGTAATTAGTTTCCACGTGATTCCAATATTACTTTCTAGATTACTAGGTAACGATAATTTTTGCTGGGTATGTTATCAGATTATTTTTAGACCGTTTGTTTCAAATTAATAACTGGCATACTTTGTCTAAAAAATTATAACAAATTTATTTTATAACATGTTTTTAGTATATTTTTGGCCACTGAAGTTTAATAGATTATTACAACAATAACAATGAATTTAGTTAAATTGTTTGATTTAATATTTATTCTGAGCACTTTCCTCTACTCAATAATGCAAAAATAAATAAACCAGAGTTAACCTTTTTTTAATACAGCCTTAAAAATTAAGTGTTCCCAAATTGGCACAGCGACCGTAAATGGGTTAAAAAGAACTAAGTGTATGTTTATTATGAATTCATACTCCAATATTCACATTTCAATATGGGCATTTCCATCGTGACGAACGTCGTACGTTTTAAAGAGATGAAAAATATATATAAACATATATATTTTTTAAAAATTCTTGTATTTTTATATAGGGCTTCAATAGCTCTATAACTGGTCGAAGAAATTGAAAGATCTTAATGGCCCTAAGATATAAGTAGTTAAAGTGCGTGACGTGATGTGACAGAAATAGAAGTTGCTTATTTCTTTTTTGACAAAAATTTAAAAATCTGCGAGTTTCACCTGGCTATTTGGTTAAAACCTTTTTTATTGTAATTTGGAATATTTATTGATTGTTTTTCAGCTTTTAGAACTAAAAAATTGTTTTCAGATTTTTTTGTACAAGCCGTTATATGTGACGTGACATGACGTGATGTGACAAAAATTTCCAATGATGAAATTTGCAATATTATTAAAAATTAATTGGTCCATAGATTTATTTTGGACGGACATTGTTGAAAGTTTTTGGAATCGGAGAAATATTTCGACTATTTAATAACATTTTAGTTGAAAATAGCTCCCGTATAAGAATAATATAAGAATTAACATTAATTAACATAAAACTTTTAAAAATGCTTATATCACCATAAAATTCAACACAAATAATTTTGACATACACAAAAATCGTTCATCCTATTTTTTTTTTTTTTTAAATTGGTCCATGATTAGGCATAGCTTCCATACAAAGCCCACATTTGATATACCCATAAACTTGGATATATAACTAATATAATCCTGATAATACAAACACACAAAAAACTTTAAAATGTACAACTACTGACCCTTCTGATGATAATACAATAATCGGTCATAACGCCCATATAAAGCCGATATCCGAAAATCACTTTTTTTCCACACATTTCTTAAAAATATCATTTGTTGAATTTCTGTGCTTTTTCTTCCACTTATCAACTAAAAAATCATAACTATCACCTAATTGAATAAATTGCATAAACATCACATCTTTTTAAATAACAATATTTCACAATTCGAAGGTTGCACTTGAGAAAATATATGTAATGTGACGTGACGTGACAGACTTTGAAATTCTATAAAAAATAACCCCACTTAGAATTTTTTTTTTCTTTTAAATTGAGTTCTATATACTAAACTTGATTTAGATTCAAAGTTTTGAATACTTCTGAATGCCAACTAAAAAGTTATCGGGATAAATCCTGTTTCAACGTGACGAACGTGACATTTAAAAGTCTATGAAAGAAAACCGAAAATTTGCCTTTTAAGGATCTTTATCTTTTTATATTTGTATGTTTTAAGATAACTATTATTCCAACAAATATTTTCCGATAAAAGTCCATTTAAATATTAGCCTTTATTAAAAGCAAATGCTACTAAAGGTGCAAAAATATGCCTGAAATTTTATTGTAACTTTTAATTCCGATTTCAAATCATAGTGGTTAACAAACGCTTTGGGGTCTTTAATTTAATAAAATTTGAATCTTTATCTATAATAATAGAAGTTGAAATTTTATTTTTGATGTCTTTTAGTTTTTGAGCCACGGTGGAATTTTTGGTGGAAATGCCCATATGAGCTTGATGTGAAATTGTAATAATTATTTTAAATAGTGATTATTTGAAGATATCTTACAATTTATTAAAAAAACCAAGTTAGAATGCTATATTTGGCTCTGCCGAATCTTAAATACCCTCCACCTGCAAACTACTTTTTATTAAAACCCAATATAAATATGTTATAAATGGTTAAAGTTATAGGGCCGAATTTATAATTTATACCAAAGAAATAAATTTTACTTAAGTATTAAAATACATATTAAGTACTAAAGTACTTTATTTCCCTTATGGAGAACCGAATTTTATCCCGATAGCTTTATTTATCAATAAAATATGTTCATTTAAGTGATTTTCGAAAGTGGACCTTATATGGGAACTATGACCAATTGTGGACCGATACAGATCTAAGTCCGTAGTTTTGATTCCTGTTTATAAATTGTCAATATGTACAAAATTTTGTGTTGATACCGATATATTTGAGTAAGTTATTAACGATAAATTAATTTCCGGGAGTATGTACCTTTGTATGGGGGCTATGGGAAATTTTGGATCGATTGTTACAATTTTAAACATAATTGATCTATAGATGGAAAAAATAATCTGTGACAAAATTTGTCGAATTATCTTTGGTAGTTTCTGAGAAAACTACTCAAGAATTAGGGAAAAAAACTTAATTTTTTTTAAGTAGTCTGAAATTTTTACTCATAACTTTTTACATTGTGAATCGATTTTGCTGATTTTCAATACCAAACTGCTTATTAATACAGTGAATATTCTCAGTGAATTTGGTTGATGCCATTTGCTTAATTTTTCCGTGAGCGTGTTTTAACCAGACAGACAGACGGACATAGCTAAATCGATTCAGAATTTCATAAGGACCCAATATATATATACTTCGTTGGGTCTCAGATGAATATTTTTTGGTGTTACACACGCAATGACAAACTCATATATATACCCTCTATCACCACTGATGGTGGTGGAGGGTATAAAAAATCGTAAAGTAATTAATATTAATACACAAAATTAATATTATACACATCATGCCGAATTTTATCCCGATAGCTTTATTTATCAATGAATTAAGCTTGTTTAAATGATTTTAGGATGTGGACCTTATATGGGAGCTAGTACCAATTGTGGACTGATCCGGAAAAAATTTCACTGAATGATTTATATCTATATACAAAACATATTCACCTCGAGTTCTACCCTGATAGCTTTATTAATCAATGAATTATGAGCATTTGAGTGATTTTCGGATGTGGACCTTATATGGGAGCTATGACCGATTATGGACCGATCCGGAACAAATTTCGTAGAGCAATTCATATACACACAAAACACATTTATGTCAAATTTTATCCAGATAGTTTTATTTATCTATGAATTATGCTCGTTTAAGTGATTTTCTGATGTGAACCTTATATGGGAGCTATGACCAATTATGGACCGATCCGGAA